ACTTCAATTGAATTAGTTTGTTATTTAGTCGCTTTTTAGTTCTCTCTCCTACTTAATGCGTGACGTTACGCAGGGTCGAAGCACAGACCACAAAGTGCACCTGCACAGAGCATCCGACGACTTGAAGCATACTCAAAATGGTAATCTCTAAGAAATGAATAAAGACACGGTAGAAAAATAAATAAATAAATAAGCATAAAGGATTATATTTTATTTTTATATAGTTGTAGGTAGAGTGGGAAGGAGGTACATTTTAAATTCTATGCACCAGAAGCATTTTTTCTCTGTTATGTATTTTTAAATATTATCGTCTTATGCGCAGGAAGAAATTTTTAAAATTTTCCTATTTCTATGAAATAAAATATTGAAATTTTAACTTTTAGATAAAAATTTCGGTTAATTTGTAATTTAGATTCAATTTAAGCGTAATTAAAAACGGTTTGGTAACTTTATCGAATTAGATGAAATCAAAACTTAATGGTAGAGGAAGAGAGGCAAAGCAAATAGAAAATAGTTGCATCGGACATATTGTAATTGCAATCCAGATGTCTATCAACTATAATTACTTCCTGTCACATGTATATACACCGATAATCATCCATCTCGAATGGGGATTGCCGAGTAAACAAGCAGCATGCTTCGTTTATCATTGAATGGATTAAACCTGCAGTAAATTACTTAAAAATACATAACCCGAATAATTCGTTCATCGCGTAACACGAATATTTATTTAAAAAATTGCAAAAACTGGTTAAATATATTTAACGTTAGATTACGTAAGCAAACATTGTGTCACTGCGGTAATGTCGACCCTCTTCACATTTATAAAGAAATATTTTTCTATGTCATTATTGTTCAAAAGAAAAGATGAATAATGTTAAAGAACATACGCAAGTAACCTGTAAATGTTTTCTTTTTTCAGAAAATTCGTTGTAAATATCCTTAGAATGATCCTTAAATCTTTTCGAAAAAGCTCCCGAAGCGTTAAAAGCTATCAAAGTCTGTAGAGCTTTAAAAACATCGAAATGGATTTAAAAATGCTCGCATTTCTACAAGTACTACAGAAGGGTTTTTCTCTATTTTTAAATGGTTGCCATTTAGAAAAGAGTAGGGGTTATTTGGAAACTTGTAGAATGCAGTTCCGTCTTTCTATCTCGAGTGAAGATCCTCATAAAAATCCTGTTCCGAGAGTATCTAGAGAAGGAAATTTTTGGACAACCAACAATTACTGTTAAATCTTGCTCGGGTTTTATACATATGCATTTTTGTTTAAAAGTTCCTTCAAAACTGGCCGTTATTGGAGGTTCGACTGTACTGTACAGCACATATATATGCAATAAATTTCATTTTTTAATGAGTTTACTGAATATTTAATTTGGCTAATTTTTAAATTATTTTCCAAATTATATATTCGAGTCGAACGTCCAATAACGGCCACCTCTTAGCGGCCCTTTTTATGAACTTTTTTGAACAAAACACCCTGCAAAATAATCTCCGAACAATGACCATTATTTGTGTTCCCGTCAGTGGCCGTATTACATTGTTTCAATCATAATAACATTTAATTTTAAAGCAGTAAAGATTTGAAGATCTGGAGGCAAAAACGTGTTGACTCGGTCTCTTCATTGAGCAAACGTAATTTTCGAATTCACGATCCGTAATTCCTCCAAAACAGCAATCTCTAACATAATTAACCACTCGTGAACTTTGTCAAACACCGAAAATTTGGAACTTTAGATCGCTTTTCCTAGAAACTTGAAAAAATCGGTTGGCGTGTTCTTGCCTCCAAATCCTCAACTTTGTTCGAATTTTATGTAAAAAATTACGGTTAAGGATATAGTTACATTAAGTGGCACAACGTATAAATTAAATTTTAAACCGCTAAATTTAAAACAAAATATATAATTTTATTTGATTATAAAATATATAAAGGGCAAGATAATTAAGAAATCATTCTCTTAAACAGATATACTTTAATATTGTGTTCGTCTTTCTCTCGCTTTTCATTTATTAAACCTCGAGGCCCTTTATATTCTCCTTCATCTTCTCTCGTTGTCTCCCAACTACTATTTTTCCACATGATTTATATAGCTACTGTCTATTTTGGGATTCTATTATTGCCCATTTTTTACACTGGCAGTATATATAAGAAATTCATATAGATCTATATATATATATGAGTTTCTTTAAGCTTTAAAGGCAATTTTCCAAAACTTTTACTTAAAATGCAATAGATAAAATAGGATAAACTACATTTTGGGTATGACGTTTCGTTAATGGTCTATTCGATCCGCTTATTATTAAAATCGATAAAGTTTCCAGACTCTGTAAAATCTGACTCTACGCTTCATTTCGAACAGAATCTTTGTGTAATAATTTCATTACTTTATCTCAAAATGTCGAAATTAGATGATTAATTTATAACTTTAAATGAATTATGTCTTGCAGTGGTGGAATATACACACTTGTGGCCAGTCGCGAGGAAATTGCACAGTTGCCTGCATGGGCAATAAGATTCTGAGGCTGTTGTAAATTCCTCAAATTAGTTGAGAAGAATTTCCGTTTAAGACATTAAGAATGCTTTCAATCCCCGTTTAAAGTTTAAACAACCGGATCGATGTTTATAAAATGATTAGTAAGTCGTATGACAATTGCATTCCCTTGTTTATCGCAATAGTCGTTAGCGCTAGCTTTTCAATTTCTATCTCCCGCTGACAGTAGAAAATTATATTTATTTTTACTACTGGACTATTATTTTTTATTCTCGATAAAAATATTAAATATAAATTTCATTCTTTCGAGGCCATGTCTGTATTTTTATCGATGAATTATACAGTGAATCCTGACTGAATGATACAAGATGTTTGCCAGCTTCCTATTCGTTATAAATATATTAACGGGAGATTTAATATTTATGCTAAAAATACTTGGAATTTCTAGGAAATCGTAACTTTTCATCAGAATATCGTAATTTCTAACATTTTCACGCAAAGAAATGTCTCGAAATCGCGAAGATTGGGAATATATTTAAATTATTTACGAACCCAAAATATAAAGCCGAATTCTTAACTTCATTTGGGTACCGATTTATGTAATTTAATGTCATTAAAATTTACACAAAGCTCAATTAATAATTAATTTAGCACTCGCGAAAGACGAATATTTGGATTTAACATAGAATTAAGGAATGAAGAAGAGGAAAAGAGATTACTCGCCAATGTAAACATTTAGACTAGAGAATACTTACAGATTGAAATTGTACGTTTGTAGAAGTATTTAGACATCAGAGATTTATAATATTGGATTTATTTATACTTTTAAAGAAAGCAACAGACTTCCTGTTGTGTTTAAGAGGATTCGGAAGATATTTGGCTGGGAATATCTTGAAAATTTCTTTTATAGATATTGCATATTGGGCCGTTAAATAAATTATTACGTTAATATTCACGCGCCCCACTAGTTGCCGAGTGGATAAGGCCATTCATTGAACACTGGTAGTTGGTAGCGGGTTCCCACTCGACCAGCGGGGAGCTTTTCGGGTTTTTTTTTTTCACTCGCCCAGTTTAGAGGCCAGTTTCCCATAGAAAATCCTTTCGGGAGAGGCCCCTTTGGTAGATTGCCCATACGTTGCGCTTCTGTGTAAAGTTAAATTGTATTTAATTGTCTCTAAATTTCATTAAAATCCATAATTTTTCATCAGATTTTCTTCTTATAATACTCATCGCTCACCGAATACTTTTATATAAAACAATGGAAACTTTAATAAAACATATGGAATGTGTAATAAGTTAGGTAACGTAGAATAATTCTTTCTGGCAAGTATAAAGAGACAAATTGATATAAAAAAGTAATAAATCCACCAGTTGCTTCAAAAAGCAATACAATTTAAAATATTTTGACCTTGTATGTTTTACTTGAGTGATTTCAATTTTCCGCCTGTCTGAGTTTTAACGCTCGATGTATTCTCGTACATCTTTCTCCAGTAATTTTTGACAACTAATAATATTTCTATGTTTTTCCGATCTTTAATAACAAAGTCCGAAACGTTTAAATTGGTTTAGCAGTAAATACTCATAAAATTTCTTTACGTAGCAACAACAACGACCAATAGGACTTCAGCCAACGTGTTTGAAATTCTCTGGATGTGCAGAGGATATCGCAACGCTCGGCGATTATTTACCATTAATTTTTGTTTTGTAAAACACGAAACCTTTCATGTTTTACAGTCGAATGTTTTCTAAATCAATACGATTCAAAAGAATTCAAAATGCTCTTAAGAGGAATTGAAACTAGAAAATAATTTAAAAATTTGAATTTTTAACACGAAAGGTTCTTAAAAATTAACTTTAAAAATTGAAGAACATTTACGCTGTTTTCTGGCGCATATTTATCATTTCGTATGGTCAAATCTTCATGGTGCCAAGAAATTTCCAGGTGATGATGCAAATAACATTTTCTTCCGTACTCTTTTATTTGTTGGGAAAACGAATACCCGATTTATGCGCCATTTATGCCCGATTTTTCTTATAAAATCGAAAAATAAAATGGTTAAATTGGATCAGAATGAAGATGTCAGATAAATAATCTGCAAAAGAAATGCTTAAACGAAGTTGCAAGTATTAAACTATTGTATGCAAATTAGGCAATTACTTATTTATCCATTGCTTTAACCGCTGGAATTTTTGCGCTTTAAAAAACAATTAATTCCTTAAACAATTCGGAAAAAATAATTTTTCATTTAATTTTTTTAAAATAAATTTCCTTCCGATATAAAGTTTAAGCGCGACTTAATAAAATCTTAATATTTTTGCAATTTTTAATATAAATTAGCGGTTAATTCTAACGAAAAATAATATTATATTTTATTAAAACTTGATTAAAATCTTATTTCGAGCGTTTGCTTTATTCGAAAATAACAGAAAAACAGACTTTTCCTATGTTTTAAGATGGAATTATATGAGGGGAACGTGCCACTTTTGTAAATAAGAGAAAGTACTTACCAGTGGTTACTAAACGACTCCCTTATGGTGACATCTTTAGTTCCACCGGGTACAAGTTTCTCTATCATCCCTTCATAATTAACCGCCGCTGCAGCTGACAAAATCTTTGCCAAAAATGATCTTAGCGACGTCGTGATTGTAATATATAAGAGAACAGAAAAACAGCCGAAACTTTCACGCGACACAGGAAACACTGACAGGTATTAATTCCGACAGTCAGAATACACTCGGATAATCTGCAGACAGGTGTTGCCAACTGTGTCTATCAAGAAAATGCTTTGCTTCTCTCTTTCTATCTTTCTCTCTCTCTCTCTCCGAATCTCCCGATACGTTTGCCAGGTGCGCACGCAAGCTGCTACTCCGTAACCATAGCAACGACGTACCTGTTTTGTCTACAGAAGATGAGTTCCGTTCGAGTTAAATTCGACAGTTACGCACTCTCCCGATTTGGCTTTACTGTTAAATTCATTGTGGCATTATTGTGACGTCAGCACTGGGGCTGTCTTTGTGGCTCGCGCTCGATCGTGCCACGTTACAGATAAATTATATTCTGCGACGTTAAAAATTAAATGGGTAAGTCCTGCGGAGGGATCGAATTCGAGTCTCGTGTACTGTTCGACATTTCGCGTTTGGGGTATTTCGACTGTTTAAAAATAGGCCCCAGTTTCCGCTCTACTCGTATAAGTAATTATCTCGTTGCAATTTGTGTAAATAAAATTGAAAATAAAGTAGAAAATTAACGAGTTGACTTGAAAATTCGTATTGTTCTAACAAATTTACGCTTTGTACCTACTAATTTACTCGTGTTTTATTCCAAAAAACATTTATAAAACGTGATAATAAGTATCGATTTTGTACTTTAAACATTGTTAAACATTTTAATTTCTTTCCACTTTAATAACAATGAAACCGTATTATAAACTAAGATAATACAAGAATACGTATTTTACTTTTAATTGTAATTTTTTATATAAAAATAAAGAAACTTAAATTAGTTGAGAATTATTTTATAAAGTGTAACATTAATCAATCAATCCATGTTTTAAGTCACGTATTAAGGAAATATAAACTTTAAATAAATACTATTTCTTTTGTTTTCTTCCTTTTTATGTGAGGTAGAGATATCGTTTGTCAATGCAAGTGTTTTGAGGAAAGACAAAATTGAGTATTATATTTGAAGATCCCTCTAGAGAATGAAATAAATGCTAAAGAAGGTGAGAAAAATTGATTTGATTTTACTTTATTTCATTTATTTATTTTAATATAAACTGCGTTAATTTCGGATTAAACGGAATTTTATTGCACAAAATCGTTGTCTTCACGCGGGTGTAAGTTACTATTCATTAGAATAATGATTTATTTAGCTAATTAAATACAAAAGATTACCTTTATATAAGCGGAGGAAAGGTTAAATATTCAAAATATGTATGCTAAAATCCGATCGCTAATCAAATCGCAGGTAGTTGTATTGCTATGCAACCAATGTTTGTGTTGTAGAAACCGCTCTCTCCCCCTTTCTAAATTGTGTAACGAGTTTGCTAAATTATCCATGTGTTTAGTTGGATTTTATTCGAAATTCTTACATAATCTTTCTTTTAACTTATTTAATTCTAATTGAGAGTGTTTGCGAGAGGCAATCGACTGGTTTCGGCCCTTTGCAAAGTGCCGAAACACCCGTTAAGCTGGCAAATCGATGCTTAAAATGCACTTATTACGTAATGAATAAGGTTAGATAATGATAAACTTGGTCTTATTCGGAAAACTTTCAGATATAAACATTTCAAAACGTGAAAGTAAAGTAGTAAGAAGGAATTATTGGCACTGGACTTTTTTGTCGAACACAATCCCACCATCGTGAATGTCAACAACTGGATACGATTCAATGAATTATATGGCGTTTATACTTCGATAGCGCCTGTTAATGGCACTTCTTTCAGCTTGTTTGTAAATTCAGAATTTTGAAAGCTTTAAATAAAAAAGAAATTTTCAGTTAATTTTCCTATCTGTTGCTGTTTTCTAAAATATTTTAGTGTCACAAGATATACGAGATTATTTGTTCGGGTAACAGATGTCCGAGGTAGCATTGTGATCGATAAAAAAATGTACCTGTCGCTTCGTCGTACGGTAACTGCGGATGGGATTAATACAGTCTATTTTATAATGTATTATTTACTTTAAGAGTTACATTACGCGAGGTTATATTATGCTTAAAATCTAGTAAATAACAAATTAATTAATAACCGATTATTTTTAATTAAAATGCCATAATTTGGATGGAAATTTCCGAAAACTTGTATATCGGTTTTCTAATACAATCGAACCTGCGAACAACATTGAAAGAAAAAAACGAAGTTGTTGGGAGGTTACTTTGTATGCCTTTTTTCGACGTTCTCGAAGAGACGGCCGTCGTTTAGAGGTTTAATCTTTGTAACAGTATAATTTTCGACTCAGTCGATAGAAATAAAAAAGTTATTACCGCTTCCAAATGTTTATGCAATTTCAGTTCAATTCTGTTTTTCATTAAACACTTTCGAGAAACTTTCTTATTTTTCGACTTCAACGTCATTAAACAGGTAAATTTATTTCCATATTTTTCGCCTTTTATATAAATATTTTAAAACTAAAAATTGCTTCGGACTGAAAAAATGTGCGGAACCGAACATTCTCCATTTTTCGTTAATCATCCGAAATGCAAAATGTTAATGACGGAATCCTTAAGGGAGTCGAAGTTTTAAATAAATTTCCTATCTCGATATAAATAGTCAAGCTAATTCTTCTCTGAAAAACTATTTTCATTTCATTCCATCCATCTCCTAATTATTTCTAGCAAAATTATATTTAATTCTGCACTCGACCGTGTTATAAATTTTTCCGATTTTTACTCTTATCCGGTTAATCTTTACAACAATAATAGGCAGCGTTATTAATAAATCTGTCAGTAGCGTAACTAGAACTTATATTACGGGGGAGGGTCGAATTAGAACGTGCAAACCTACATTCACCCCTACACCCAATGTGGTTGCAACCTCTAAGGATAAACAGTGTACACGCGTAAGTGGTTCGTCGCATTCAAATTTTTTCCTTGTAATTATTTCATTTTTCATTTATTTATTTACAAAGATGACAGCCCTTTCTGTTTTCTTTTATTTATTTCTCTTTAATTGATTGATAATTAAGAAATTTACTTAAAATGGCCGATTTTGTAACAAATCGATAAAAGTTTAAAAATTTTTATTTATTATTTTAACATCTCCGAAGATTTTTACGTCTACGTTCGCTGTTATCGTGTAATTTTTCTCAATTAATGACGAAATATGATTCAAATATGCTACGTTTGATAACTAGACTTAATAGAGTTATAATAATAATTATTATTTCTCTTAATTATTATAATAAAAGACGAGCGCTTTTGTGATTCTCCACTTTCGGTGTTATTTTTGTTTTTTATTTAAATTCTAATAAGGTAATTATATAGAAGCGGATTGAATAAGAAGCTGCGGTGCGGCGCATGTTTATGCTAGATGATGCATTTTTTCCCGCTGGTTTATTCGGCAATGCATTTCAAATATCTGTAACTACACTAAAGGCATACGAGAGTTAAAAACTGCCGAGATTTCTTTCGTGTCTGTTGCCTCTTAGATCAACAGTGATCTAAGCGCAAATTGGTCGGGTGGGCTTATTTCCTCGATAATCAACTATGGATCGCCGAGTTATGTCTTCGAACGTACATTCGAATGTAATATAAAAGTTGGAAAATTGGATGGATTTTCACCGAATGGAAATTTTAATAATTACTGGATAAGTAAAGAAATTCGAGAGCAGTATACTAATTAAATTTTCTATAGAGAAACAATAATTATAATTATACGTTACTTTTCGTTTCAATTATAGAGGCCAAACAGGAGTCGATTGGATGACACCGCTCGCTGATTCGTACCTGACCCGTTAACGGACTTGCATATGGAGTTTTCTGGTTTCTCTCACGTATCTAACGGAAACTAGCCCTGTTTGGGTTAACACCCAAAAGGGCCCGTTTCCAATAAAAGTCGGGAGACACTACCACCTTGGCAGATAGCTCGTGCGCTCCTTATTCAATTATTTCTTAACGAGTTAATTTAAATTTAAGAAATAAAGCAAAAATTTCTTATAGCAATTTTCTATTAATTGAGTACTTTATCAAAATAGTCATTATCCGCTCTAATACATTACGCAATCCAATGACGATGATATTCTAACAAGCGTTTTGCTGCCTAAGAAAGAATGCGCTGTACTTCATAAATTGCATTATTTTAACGTGAAAAATATCTTACTGTGCTTTCGTGAAAACTTTATTGTAATTAACACAGAAATACAACTATAGACCCATTACAGTGCGGCTCAATACAATGAGAAATCACTTATAAAGCAACAATGGTTGGCTCCTAATTTCACGTCTTTCAAATTTTATTGAAAAAAAAATATATATATATATATATAATATATATATATAAAGCCATATTTATTTTAAGCATAGAATCATCGCCTTTTACTTTCAACAAAATATAAAACCTCGATACAACGTGACACGGCCCACTTGTATTACGAATTAATTTATTTGCACCCGATGGCCCCCGTTATATCTGCACTATATCAAGCGTGTATAAGCTATTCCAAAACGCACTCTTTATTCTAAATCTGTTATTCGTTGCCACGATATATCGATGATCCTCTTAAATAGACTTAAGAAAATAATCTTATTTGTGGCACGAGACTCAAATTCACTTTAAGAACTGTCACCATTCTTGACAAGATTCGGAACATTTCAATTTCGTTTCTCACAAAAGTGAAGTAATTCCTTATCCTCAATTTTTTAAAATACAATTTAATTTCGTTTTCCGTTATATTCTCACATAAAATTTGAAAATTCAACAAATTTCTCTTTCTCTCCAGTGAATTCTGTTAAAAACTGAATTTTAGTCTATTTCTATTTAATAATACTGTGCTATTTGTTATATGTTGTACTCGCAATTCATTAAAAAGTAAGATTAAATACATAATAATACTTTTCCGGATTTTCTTCACGTGTCTAACACTTAAATATGAGCCACAGTTTCCTCATAGAAAGTTCTTCCTGGTGGTGTATCCAATATATTCCAGTGTATTTCGGCCTTTTTCCAATAGTGGCATCCCAACTTGGTAATTTTTATCTCGCAGTATTCTTACTTCTCTATCAATGTAGAATTATTGCACTTTTAGTAATAACTTGCATGAAAAAAGTGTTATGGTGCTGCTCAGCACTATAT